GGAAAGAACAACCCTTAATTTTTATAAACGAGATGCAGCAAGTGACAGCATCTTAAAGTCTATTAAAGGTTAGAACCAAACAGTAAAACAGAGGAACTGTTAGAGGAAGAATCCTAGAGTATGTACCAGAGACCTTTACAGTACCAGCACAAGTAGAGTCATGAGCAGTGTTTTCAATGCAATTCATTCATTGCCAGAACTGATTGAAATGAAACATGAAGAGGAAAATCTCAATTTTCACATTCTAATCTTAACATATTCTTGTGTGTACAGCCAACTACATTAGCAGTAGATAGCACTTCATGTGGTTTCTATAACTTGACTACTTGGATGAGTGCCCCTTCTACATTAAAAAAAAAAAAAAAATAGAAATTAGACATTATCAGGCAGGCAGCCAAATGGCAGCCAATTAAAATATTTCAGGGACTCCCAGGTAAGTGCTTTAGAAACAAGCATTCAACTGAAGTTAACAGCTGTTAAGTTTGTCTGTATTTTGAGAACAAGGCACATTGATTTCACGTTGTAAATTTGCTCATTAACGGTCATGGAAACATGTTACACATACATACATCAGAACCTGCCATAACATCACAGCACCCTGGCTGGATAGCGCCAGTCTGATGGCACGTCACCAGCAATTCTGTGACCTTCCCTGAAATGCACGAAGATACCTAGCAGAAGACAAGGGGAAATACAAGTCTTGGAATTACAGCACTTGGGAATAACACAAATTTCCCATGATTCCTGTATCACTGTGCCAGATATTTCTCTTCTGGCAAGCTGGAGGAGGAACTGATATTTAAAACACCAAGATACAGAAACCAAATGAAAAATATTTGGCAACTTGCTACCGGCTAGATTTGCCTGTAGAAGTCATCCACTTGTGCCAGGCAATCTGGTAGGTCCATTAGGAATGGTAATTTCAAGAGAACAGCATGAGACAGGAGTTTTGATGGACTCTTTTTCTGATCGTAGCTCCACTTGATGCACCATTAATTTGGGGTATAAATAAAAAGAAATACTGGCTGTTAGGAAAGAATTCTGTAATGACCTGGGGCTAGTCAAGTTCAAAATGTTAATATGTGGGTAGAGTTTCCCTGTCAGAGAAGTGCAGATGATCTCTGTGAAGCACAAGAGTTCCTCCAAGCACCTAGAAATGTTTAGTCATATGCTAATCCTGCTTAGACCAGCAGCACTCTGAGATGTAAACTGCACAAGTATATTGTTCTTAGTACTGAAACCAGGACAAGGTCATAAAGCTTGACAATGGACAGAAGACACTTCCTACCTTTCATCCTGCCCAAATTATCCCATTCTCTTGCACTAAGTATGTGAATCTCTAACAGAAGAGTGGTGGAGTCAAATTTTTCCTGGGTCTCACACCAAGCTCTTAACAAAAAAATAATGGGGAAAAAAACCTGAGTGTCAGAATACTAATATTTAAACATCCCACACAAAAATTATGCCTTAAATATTTTCTTTAGTTGAAAGGAGAGAAAAGAAACATTTGCTTGCAAGATAAAAAGGGGCCCTCAAAATCTCTCCAGTAATCCAATCCAACCCTTGCCAGGTTAACCCATTCTTGTACTCTATAACCACCAAAACCAGTAAGCCCGCCTGCCCACCAAGCAGTCTTTTATACTGATGCGTATTATACCGAGTTGCTAGAAAGCAGAAAATGGCCACATTCAAAAAGTCTAAAAGAGAGACAGACCCACACAGTCTGCCAGACTACTGAAAAGTAGGTGTGTCCACATGTATCCTAGAATACTTTAATATACAATGAATGTGATATGCTCTTTCAAAATCCAAACTGATTGCCAAGTTAATTCATAGGTTTTACGTTTTGTAAAATCAGGTTACAAAATTTAATGTACACAAAGAGACAGGCAGACTCACCCTAGAAGCTCAAAAAAATAATCTGGTCTTGTACTCCCCCCTCCCCTTTTCTCTTTCTCTCATTGGACAGAAAAGACCATTTTTCTAAGCAAATCCCTTGACATGCATTTAGCTTTAGCCATCCCTAGAACAGGCACAGGAAAGAAAAAACCCAAGTCCAAACATAACCATTTGCACATTGCATTTGTACCAAGGCAGAAATGGAGAAAAGTACATTAAACCACATCCTTAATCCTAAGCAGTAAGCTTTCAACACTAGATTTGTTCTATCTGCAACAGAAAAAAAAAGGTATTTATGTCACAGTACTGCATCAGTTCGGATGCTCTTTTTGATCTTCTAGTTTGGATATCAGTTCCACCACTATGTCTTGAGAAAAAAAGAAAAAAAAAAAAAAAATTTCCACACCAGGAAGACATCTTCAGGATGTCAACCTAGGAATACAAAACTGAGATTCATTTAAATCATCACTGACTAACCAAAGAGATTATTAATGCATTGAAGTAAGATTATTTTTAAGTCCAAAGTTTGTTAGAGGTATTATCAGAAGCATTTTTTTTTTCTTTCAAGAAAAAGGGATGGGAAGGGAAAACTATTAAAATCAGATGTTGAAAACAGTCAGTGACTTTCTAGTTATCTCCAACAAGCACAAACACAAAGGATTAACCTGACTGTTGAGGGCTCTAGGCACACACTACAGCAGCACCTGCTTCATCAGTTTTCTAGTTAAAACCAGCTGGGAACAGCATGGAAGCAGTCAGCCTATCTGTGCAAGGGAAATGAGTGTAATAGGAATATTTGGAAAAGTAACTCAAAAAGGGAAAAGGTTACATTCATGACAGAAAAGCACTGGCCTTAATCTACAAAGAAGAACACCTGCTTTCTGATTTTATTCTTAGAATTTCTGGCAAAGAACTACTGTAATAAAACATCAATATATGGTAAACTCTATAAAGAAAACTGAAGTGGAAAATATGCCCTCACCTTCAAGACAAGAAATGAGGCAGGAAATCAAATCAATGGTCTGTTCAGCCTGACGGGTCTAGTTTTTATGAATTAGGGTTACTGATGTATTTCTTGCTATAAAATAAATTGTTGAAAAGATTATAGTCTATGTTGTTGTCTAACATTAGTGCATAATTGACGGGGGACATCAAACACCAAACACATACTACATCAGAGTTCTGTGGCATGGGTGGGGAGAATACAAACAAGCATGCATTTAATTGTCAGAACCTAAATAATATATTGGAAAGTTTCCTCTGATAACGAAGGTCACTTGCCACCTCTGAACACAGAATCACAATGTTTTCAAGATGAGTGCTCAAAGAAATCTTTAAACATTTGAGGCTATAAACAAAATTAATTTCTTAAAACTATTTACATTTCCTAATTAACCAATTTAGTGATTGAAATCATGACCTTTAATAAAAGGCATCTAACATGAAGTTTGGTAACTTACTGATCGCTGTTGCCGTGGTGAAAAACTGAAGTACGCACATAATCCTTTCATTAAACATAAAATGGATAACAAGATGGCAAAAGTATGTACAGTGTTGCTCTCTGAATTTCATCTTCTACAAACTCCTCATTTAAAGCAGTTATGAGAGAACTGTGGAACACAGATGGAAGATGTAAAGCAGGATATAAAGCTTTTCTTTCTATATGAAAGTTTCTGTGCATAACAATTATGATTAGAGTCCTGTCAGGCAATTTACCAATAAAGAGATAATTTTCAGACAAAAGCTTTTAATTAATCCCACTTTCAAAATTTCTCAATACTATGAGAGAGAAATCTTTGTGACTGCAATGTGATACACTTTTTGTGATCAAAACCTGGGGAGGAAGGGCGAGAAGGGAGCTTTTAAGATTCTTGGGAAAATGTCTTAAAAATGACATAGAGGAAGCTAATAAAAGAAAGAAAAGTGTCCACCACATACAAATAGAACATGGTGAAGGTAAAAAAACACTTTTAAAAAAGCTGAAGCATGCCACTGTGTCTGAGAATCCTAAAGATGTTACCAAAAGACACCAGTCAGATCATTTCAAAACCGTAACTTCCTGCCACCTCCACAGAAAGCTACTCAACTACTGGGTACAATTAAGCAGCTCCTCAAAAAGAGAGCAGAAAGCCACCAAACCCTCTTTACATTAAAGTACCACGTCGGCATGTAACAACCAAATGACCTTTTACTGAAGTTGTATTAACTGCATTTAACCTTACATTAACTAGGAATGCAAGAAGAGGAGCAAGAAGAAACCTTTTTATACAACACAGATGCAGCAAGTTTGAAAGTACAGCTGAGGTCTTGTCATGATCAGATAGAGAAATTAAAAAGGACTGGTGAAATCAAAACCACCCGAGATCATGTTATTTCCTCTTTGTTCTCTTTATCTTAAAAGGCCTGTAAAATAGCAACGTACAGTATAGCTGAATTTGGTATGCTGAACACAGATCACTCCGAACTGGCGAATCAGAATGGAGAAGTAGTACAGTGCAGAAAGAGAACCGACTTCTCATCTACGCTGAGCAGAAGGAGACATGTTTGCTGCTAGTATATGCTACCTGCTGAAATTAAGAAAAAAGGAGTGTAGCACAAGACGCAAAACATAGTATGTAGAACCGTTACTTTCTATTCTGTGAGGCAAAAGTCCCTTAGTGGTAAAATACATGATAAGGAGTAAAGTATACTAGACCTATTATACCTTCTACTACACATCTCACCAAATAAACTTGGCCATATTGAAATCCCCAATTTAAGAACACTCCATTAATACCCTCATGCACGTTACCTCTCAGCTTGGCAATGTAAAACTGCATTTGCAGACATAAAATTCAATCTGTGGGCAAGGAACCTTATACTGAATTAAAGAATAAAAAAGATCCTAAAAAATAATAGCACAAGACCGGTTTTCTTTTAACCTGTTACTTCTTCATACTAGAAAAAAGCCCAGATCAAGATTTTTAAGAATTTTTATTGACAGTTTTACAAAATAATCCTTAATAAACAATATCCTGAGCAGCACTCAAGACACATCTTCGTCTGCTTCGTGGTTTTGTATGATACGCAAAGTCAGAAATTGCATTAAGTTCTTTGCATGTTCACTGTAATGCAAGAACCTGTTGCTTATCCTCCAGAATTTCTTCCTCATCATCCATTTGGCTTTCATCCCAGCCCCTTAAAAGAAACATACCACAGTGATTTTCAGCAGCTCAAATTCCTCAAGCTACTCCACTTTAAGCCTTAGTGACATATGTGAACATATGTCGAACTAAAAGGCATGAAAATAGCTTTTGCTATTTATTTTGCAAGTATACACACATTACAAGCTACTATATTCATTTTTTCACCCCAGCTCTTGTCACATACATTTTCACGTCTTAAACAAGTAGGAGGTAAATAACATTGTCACTACTGTGCATGAATAGAGAAATCCCACATCCTAGAACAGGTAAACTAGGAAAGCGGGTCTCATTTATACTATCTGCACTCTTTGCAAATATTGTTTAGTCTTCTACTGACCTGCAATTTCAATGTTATGAAAGCTATATTCACATGGCATGCAGTTAACCTCACAGTGTCTCATTTATGAGATCATAGTAAGACACCGAAGACAGGCAGAACTTTGGGGAACTCCCTTGTTTCCAGTCTTCTCTTTAGTCTCCAAGGCAATATAACTGATATAAGATAGACTACGGTGAGTAAATGCTATTGGCTCATCTGCTCACAACTGCTCTTTTTAAAAGTACCTTTCAACCAAAGAGCTCAGATGATTCGTAACAGACGTACTTCATAAATCTCAGTGCTATATTTTAATCAAAAGTTAATTCATTAAAACAACATAATCCCAAAATTTATAATTTGGAGCCTCAACAACAGAATATATCACTTAGTTCTTAATCTGAGCTGCCTATGAGTACTCATTTGGAACACCAAGATACAAAATAGGTCATGCTGACATTTGCAATCAGCACGTAAAGTACAGTGAGAAAGCCAAGACTGTTTTTATTTTGGTTCTGGCATGGTGTCTGGCATATTGAGCATTTTACAGTATCATAAAAATATATTCAACAAGTTTAACTTACCTCAGAGTATCAACTCTGCTGTGGTCTTTTAGCCCCAGGTTTTTATGGAGATCTGTAGTATTTCCATATACCTTCTCTGAGTGCCTGCTGGAAGAGGTTACATCTTCAGAAGTTAAGCTGGAACATTTTTCAGGACCTGAAATATTTTAGGTCATTTCAGGAACAAATATAAACAAAAAGATGCAGTATCTACACTACCAATTTTAAAGAATTTCACAGTCTCAACAAAAACTTGCCATTAAAAGTCTCATCTCTAGCTGATCAAGGATGTCACTACAAGCCCTTAAATAAATTATGACTTTTTATTACACGGTTCCTGTATCATTAGAAGTAATGGAGAGGGTTTGCTTCTAAAATGTTTATGTCACTACAATACAAAACCTTATATATATAGGGCCCACTAATACCTATGCAACCTCAAAATACAGTAGCAAATATAGAACTTGGGTAGCTGACTAATATTTAAACATATTTACATATTTAAAACAGAGTAACAGCATCTATCCCACATCCACCAGTACAAAAAGACGATCAACTGGGGTCAGAGCCTATGCTTCTAACACAACAAACATGCAAGTATGTTAAGATTTTCCCACCTAGCCATAAGTCTTTGCTATGGACTTCTAAGTAAGTGAAAAGTATTCCAAGAAAGAGGAATGAAAAGGGAGAGAAAGAATGGGACAGTTCCACAGCAAATTCCCTCCCTATTCTTCTTTGAGCATATTCAGCAATGATGTTCATTCTTCAAGCATCAACAAGAGAAACTCTTCCAAAAAGGCATGGGTTCTGATGAGTACCTATCAAAAAAAGGAAGGACAGCTGTCCTGAAATGTGGCATTTGGAAGCCTCAGAAGAGTCATGTGAAAAAAAATACAGAAAAAAACGAAGGTAAAAACATTTTTAAAATAGAACACTCTGGAATCCAGATTGCTTTTGTTTACTGAAGATGCATCATAGCCAAGGACCTGCCAATATAAAAGCACCATAGCAACTCAGAAGGGAGGGACCACGTTACAGCTTAAGAGATGCAGTCCATCAAGGCTGCTTATGACACAAAGTGCCTTAGGCACTTGACCCATCTTCCCATTGAGATGGAACAGAAGCATCCCAATCATTTTTTTTTTCCTGCATCCAAAGAACAAAACCAGAACTCGCTCATTCTGTTCAACCATAACCAACTGACCTTGCCTGCCACTTCTTCCCCCACAAGGAGGGGGGGGGGGGAAACCAAGGAGACGAGTTTAAAAAGACAGAGGAAAGGGAGTCGAGTCAAACCCAAGATGAGAGGTAACACCATGACTATTGGGCCTTATTAGTGGCAGTTCTTATCAGGATCGAGTTATGTAATTTCCTGTCCATCTCTTCCCCTTCTTGCTACCCTTGCATAAAATCACATCTAGCTTCTAACAACACCTGGGGTGTTCATTATTAAATATCTAAGGAAAGGACATCTATTGAAATAATACCTAGCACATCCTGAAGATTTTTGCAACAAAATGCAAGGGATAAAAACCTTAATAAAGTTGCATAAAACAATTTGCTTCTACTAAATTAAGGGTAGGTTAAAGTATGATCAAATGGAAATAAATCACTGTTCAACCTCAAGAGAGTCTTGCCTCTTCAAATGGTTTAGTATATTTTTGCATCAAAATCAGTTAGGTCTGAGAATGCAAATGAAATAGCTACTTGTTTTCATTATGTCACTTGTAAGCACCAGTAAAAAAAAAAAAAAACCACCAAAACAAAACACCAGTATTACCACTTACCTGTATAACTTTCTAATTCTTTTTCCAGAGTAAGTATATAACTTTCTAATTCTTTTTCCAGATTAAGTAGGGCTTCTTGGTCAGCAACATATTCCCAAAGATACTCATCTTGTTTAGTTACATCAAGGCATTTGTGTTTTGATGTCTCAGTATCAGCTCTAAACATATGCATAGGTGAACTCGTTGGTCTTGGCTTTGTGTTTGTTGGACAATTTCCAGTCAGTTTACAACGTAGCATATTTGTTGACCAAGGTCTTCTAGAATCATCCCCTGAAATAACAGAAAAGGTCACAACTTCTAATCAAAGAATTGTTCAGGTTGGAAAAGACCTTGAAGATCATAAAGTCCAATAGCTAACCTAGCACTGCCAAGTCCACCCCTAAACCATGTCCCTAAGCACCCCATCTACACATCTTTTAAATAATTCCAGGGATGGGGACTCAACCACTTCCCTGGGACAACCCTTTTGACAAAGAAATTTTTCTTAATATCCAGTCTAAACCTCCCCTGGCACAACTTGAGGCCATTTCCTCTCGTCCTATAGCTTCTAACTTGGGAGAAGAGACCGACCCCCATCTGGCTACAACCTCCTTTCAGGCAGTTTTGGAGGGTAATAAGGTCTCCCCTCAGCCTCCTTTTCTCCAGGTTGAGCAACCCCAGGTCCCTCAGCCACTCCTCATAGGACTTGTGCTCCAGACCCTTCATCAGCTTCGTTGCCTTTCTCTGGACATGCTCCAGCACCTCAATGTCTTTCTTGCAATGAGGGGCCCAAAACTCAACACAGTATTCGAGGTACAGCCTCACCAGTGCCAAGTACATAGGGAGTGCTTCCCTAGTCCTGCTGGCCACTATTTTCGATACAAATAATACCGAATTATATGTAACTATACTATATATTTTATTAAATAATTCAAATATATTGTATATTTAATTAAATACTAATTCAAGATTTCACACATAAAGGGAATTTTATCTCAGCTCATTAATGACATTAATCGTAGTTAAAATTATTAATTGATCTGAACAGATTATTAAATTTGCTTAAGGTTGTGAATTAATAAGCGTTAATAAAGAGTTTACAGTTATATTGGGAAGTAGCACCTCATACTTCAGGGGTATCTTTCAGAAAAAAATATTTGACTTAACCATTATGAACAATAGCACAAATTTTGGGGGAGGGGGAAAGACTGAAAATGTGTGTAGAAAGCTTAAAACTTTGGTTCTTTCCTTTTTTAATTTAAGGGAACATGAATAAAATATAGATACTTTCAAATATTTTTCTGGGATTGAAAACTGACAGTTTCAATTTCCGCACACAGAGTTTTTAAAATTAAAATGCCAAACTGGTCACTTAAGATGAGAGAAATAACACAAGCTACATTCCTTGAGATGGGGACAGATGAAATTGAGAAGAGAAACTAAAAAGTGCAGATGCAGTAATGCATTACTTGTTTCCTTGTTTCTTATAGCTCGTGTAATAAGACTTATTTCAGTAGCATGAAGAAGATCTTTTATTAGATCAAAACCATATTGTACTAGATGCTGCAAAACACACAGTAATACATAATCTTGTTCTAGACAGTTTATTAAATAAATATTTGAGCTAAGAGGGGAGTAATGAGGTAGACACAGGAACATAAACTAAGCACAATAAAAAGAACTATTAGTGACAGCTGGAAAGAGATAATTTTTAACTCAAAAGCCCATTCTTATGAAAACAATGCCATGTATATAAGCCATTATACCCAAAATACAAATACATAGATGAAGATATAAAAGTGACCTAAATTCAACAGAATCACCGCAGATGGCACTTCTACCTTTTACATAAAAAAAAATTAACCTGTTAAAGTAGGACCTCAAAGCTGTTGCTATCCTCACCTGGGTATGATTTCCACGCTACCATCATGGGAGAAATTCTATTTTGACTCTCCAAACAACTTGAAGGTCTATTCAACTGACTCTTTAAGACACCTTGAACTACAGAGTCATCAGCATATTCACTTAAGCTCCTTTCAGTAACCCACTTTCTATTTCCTGAAATTAAAAAGTATTAGAGGAATTTATTTGTAGGTTTTGCGTTAATACGCATTTACTGTTGCTGCGTTTAATGTGTGTAATTCAAAGAAGCCAAGCGTAAAAAAAGAAAAAAAAATCAAATATAACATCACTAACAAGCTTAAATTCAAGTGATATACTTGATGGAATTGATATTCAGGTTCACCAATCATTTCACATGCTGTTTCATATATACCATTAGAAGCATTTTTTGGTGATATATATTATGCACAATGAAAAGCAGAAATTCCTACCAAACTCCTAGGGGATATAAAGAAGCACATAAATCTATGGCACTGTACTGCTGTAGTTTTACCTCAAGGTAGTAAGTTTATTCTATCCTTCCACAGCACCATTTGTGTGTGTTGGCGTGACTGTTACCCTGAAGTGACTTCTAAAAGTAAGCTAGATCCAAGTTACATGAAGAGATGTCTTACAGCAACAGTGATAAATATGTATATTGTTTGAGGATTTTATTCATATGACATTACCTGGAAACAGGATACTACTGTCCATAGGGCTAGAGTCAGCACACAATGAAGAACGTGCTTCACGCATTACTTGTTTAGGGTTTGCGCCTACAACAAAGAAACCTTCCAGTCCGCAATACCATGTAGAAAGAGATTTCTGTCTTTTGGCTACATCCTGTAACTTGAATAAAACACAAAGATATTAGAAACAGGAAAAGAAACAGGAAACTTCGTAAGTTACCCTTGCAAGTTTATATCAATAAAACGCTCATTTCATAAAACTTGGAATGATTCTGATGGCCTGGTGTAATAGATATTCATAAGGATGACAGTTTAGCATGATATATGCTTTAAAATCCTATAAACTTCCATTGCTAATGTTGTGAGAGAGTCTATTCTTCCACTGACTGAATGTGGAAAACCAGTTTTTCTTTGTTTGTTTTCACTTATCTTTGTGCACATCAACTAAAGTAATACTGTTTAACAATGACTCCAAATCTAATGTCCCAACCCCCTCCCTAATTTTTTGCTTTCAGTTTGATACTCAGCAAGGAACATTAGAATAATTGGGGTTAGAGAAGAGTATCTACAATTTTTTGGCATTCAACCAAGAGGTTGATACTAACACAGGCAGAGCTGCATTCTCCCCCAACACACCTTTTGTTTTTCTCTGAGACTAGTCTGTTCTTTCATTTTTTTTGAACATCAGAAGACTGACAATACAAATTGGAAAGTACAGAGGCCTTCATCCCCTCCAGATCAAATATGGTAGGCAGTAACAATCCTCTGATTAAAACTATACTATTGATTGCTTTGGGGGTAGGGGGTCTGGAGGAGAATGGGGAAAAGCAGTGGAGTATTTCATCATCTATCACTATCTCTCAACTGATTCAGCAACATGATCTGTTGCCTCATGCTAAACTGGGAAAGCAGATTAAGCAACATAGTTTATCAAGCATTCAAAGATAAAATACTTTACCACTGAAGACTTTGTAGTTACAGGCAAAACCAAATGCTGGCTATTGCAGACACTGTCCAGTTCTTGTGAATCTTTATTGGTTTTCTGCAGTTGTGCCTCAAGGAGATATTTGTTGCTCATTAATTCAGTAGGGTTAGAAATCTTCTCAGGTAGTTTACAGGAGCTAAGTGATCTTCTTATAGTCTTCAGCTTAATATTCTCCTTTTGCACTGCATTTCTTTCAAGACTGCAGACAACCATTTTTCCTACAAGAGTACAAAAAATAATGAAAATAGGAATTATTTTTAATAGAAATTAATATGAATTATAACCTGCAAGTCTACTATATTTTCTTAATGAAGAATATGAAACCTCCATTGAAGTTATCCCTAAGCCATAAAATCATAAATAAGAAAGTTAAAGTGTTCATCAGCTTCCTGCCTGATATCCAGAGATGACAGCATACATGGACTAGACTTACCAGGTGGTAGTACCAGTTCTGTATCTAATGCGTATGTTCCTGTACATCATTGTCTACAAAAACATCAGATCTTGATAATAATATCAACACATTTCCAACTAATTCTTCATGCTAATGTAATTTTTTACATTTAGAATGCTATAATCTAACGAGCGCCAGCGTAAGAACTGCAATAGTAGCAATTTCATAAAATTTCCTTAGTAGTAGTACAGTGGTTTGAAATACATACTGTCAGGCTGTGAATGGTTCCGCAAGCTGTTTTTCTTTGTATATACAAGACATAGCCATTTTATTTTTTTATCCTGTGCCCAAAGAAGCACATATATCACATCTCATTAGTCAGCTCTTGTTTGTTTTTTCAACATAAGCAGTTTCTTGAACTAAGCACAAAGGGAACAAGTGCTAGGTTCTGAAGTGCTGGAGCAATTGTTTGGTACTTGCAAAAATAAGAAATTAAGTACTCTTACCTTCCAACTTATTTCTTAATATTAAAAAAGTTACAATATATTTTACATAGTTTTAGGACACAGAGTAAGACTTTAGGACCCCTTAAAAGTGCCACAAAATAAAGCTGCTAAACTTCCATGGTAATTTCACTGACATGCAACAGGCACTGGAATAGTTATACACAAATGGTGATCTTTCATGCAGAACAGGTAATCATTTATACAGTTTCTCAACTCATCTCTATAAAAAGCATTTTTCTACATAAAAAGCACACGTGCCATACATTAAACCTGATACAGTACAGACAAACTGCAAGATTGTAAGATCACATCATCTGCTTTATATACTGAAAACAAGCCCATTGCAAGATTGTAAGATCACATCATCTGCTTTATAATGGGCTTGTTTTCAGTATATAACTCATATTGGGGCAGTCACTCCCTCAGATATGAGCTCACAGCTGTTACCATCACAGCGGATGCCTATCATTTCAAACTAGCTTGCACAGCCCATCAAATTGTGTTCAAGGGACCTGCATAGCTCAGGGAACGGTACATAATTTAACATTCTTTAATTATTTTTTTTTGACAACCATTGTAGTTGACCACCAGATATTACATGAGGATAAAACTGTATACACTTACATATACTGTAGAAATAAACTTTCAAAATTTACCTTGAGAAATTTCTTTGGAAGAAAGGGGATTTCTGTCAGGAGGAAAAGGTAAAAAATATTGAGTGTCAGCTGCGGAAGTTAAATGACAAGATGACTTTCTCATTATGCCTACAGTTTCTCTTGGCAAAAGGTCTGGTACTGCGTCATTTTGATCTGCAACTGCTGA